GCGCGCCTGGGCTGTCCCGCTGCGGGCGTGCTCCAAGGCTTTGCTCCCCGTCTCCCTGCAGACCAGGGAGACAGGGAGCAGCTTTTCTCGCCCCGGAGGACGGGGGCGGTGGACCGCGGCGCATCTGGGCGTCCCGCCGCTCCCGTCCTCCGGGGCGAGAAAAGCCCCGTTCGTAACTGTGGATCCGACATAAGTCGGATCCGCGTAACTCGGGGACTGCCTGAACTTCAAAGTGGCAGCACTGCACAGCTGATCTGTGGATCTGCTTCTATACCTTTCAAAGGTACAGTGGAGCCTGAGGTCAACTGGGGACTCCCCAGCTAATCCTGGGCTCCCTGCAGCACTTCCCTGGAACCTGGGATCAGCTAGGGACTCCCCAGCTGACCCCGGGCTCCTAGCGGCATGCAGTGTATCATGGAGCCCGAGGTCAGTGGGACTCAGAGTCTCCCGCTGACCCCAGGTTCTGTGGCTTTGAAATACACAAGAGCCCCTGCTGGAGACTCTTGTGCATTTCAAATGCAGCCTGGAGTCAGTGGAACTTCCTGCTGGCCCCGGGCTGCACGCGGAGTTCCTCCTTTGAAATGCACAAGATCCCCAGCAAGGAACTTTTGTACACTTCAAATGAGGAATGAGGAAGTGCCTATTGACTAGTCCATGGAAATTCCGTCTACTAGTCAATTAATCGCATTTTAACATCCTTAGTCTAGTACTTGCGCGCCTTGAACCTGCTCTCACCTTCCCCACTCCCTTTGTTCTTTAGTCTTCTCTCTAATGATATTGAAAACACTTTGAGGGCAGAGATACTAGCTTTTCCTTGACTATGAAGAGCTAATACAATTAGAGCAATATATAAATAATAAGCTAATTTTCCTTTTTCAATTTCAGAGTGTGAAATAAAAGCAGATCTTGTTTTCTTGATTGATGGCTCCACTAGTATAGATCCAGAAGACTTTGTCAAGATGAAGACATTTTTGGAAGCTGTAATTGATCAGATTTTTTATGAACACAATGTTCAAGTTGGCATTGCCCAGTACAGTCACTTGTATAAAAAAGAAGTCAACCTAGGTGCTTTTCCAGGCAAATCAGAACTGAAAGCTCAAATTCAGAACATTGAACAGATTACAGGAAATACTTTAATTGGAAGTGCACTTACAAATGTGAAGGAATTCTTTGCCCCGTCAGGCAGCAAAAGAGTAACAAGAAATGTTCGACCGATTTTGCTGGTACTCACTGATGGGGAGTCACAGGATAATGTTGCTGAACCAGCAGAAAATCTGAGAAAGCAAGGTGTTGACATGTATGCTATAGGAGTTGGGAATATTAATGACTTTCAGCTCATGCAAATAGCTGGTGCCGCAGAAAGGAAGTACACTGTTGATGATTTCAGTAAGCTGACGATCATTAAAAACAGATTAGTTAACGACATATGCCACCCTGTTGTTCCTACAAGTAAGTATAAATGACTAAGGGGGGAATTTAAATTTCAGTTCTGGACTCGGGTCCCACCTCTAGAGCTATTTTTCTTCAAATATGCTCTGTTTTGACCATCACTGAGGACGACTGCTGAAAGCCAAGTTTGAATGTTCTAGCTACAGCATTTATAAATTACCCTGGCCCAAATTGAATGACTAGAACATTCAGAGGAAATGCTTCATTTACATGCTCCGTAACACAAAAAACACTGCCCCTGTTTGGTTCTGACTTTCAAAATAATCTAGGGGATCATGCACTTTGTTGCTTTTACAGGCCAAGATCACTGCATGCACCCAGGGGCTCCTAGCATTCATCTGTCCCCACACCCCACAAACTCTATGTGCTCCTCTCCCATTACCCTCTATTTCTGGGATTCACTGCAACCCCATCCTCCATGGCAGGGGCTCTGTTTCATTCATATCTTTGTCCCCTATTCTCCTCCTCTCACATCAGGGGCTCTATGATTCCCTCCCCCTCACCCCACACACACATACCTCCAGTTTCCTCTTCTCTCCTCAGCATTCTTTTTTCTTCCTGTCAGAGAGATAAATAATTACAGATTTGGCTGAAGTTGCCTATTCAAAGTTAGCTGTTCAAAAGGAGATGCCAGTTCAAACGTTATTTGTATTTCATGTAAATAGTCGGAAGAATGCCATCAAGTTGACGGTAGGGTCTTGCCACCCACCACTTGTCAGCCTTCAGTGGTGGCTGGAGCTCCCCATTTATTAGTATTGACATACGTATGAAACAATTGACACATGACTTCTAGGTATATTGAATAGACAATGGCTGCATCTAGACTGGCATGATTTTGCGCCAAAGCGGCTGCTTTTGTGTACAATCTTGCCGCCTGTCTACACTGGTCGCGAATATTTGCACAAGAACACTGACTTTGTACTGTACAAAATCAGTGGTTCTTGCGCAAATACTCTGACGCTCCCTCTCAGGGATAAGCCCTCTTGTGCAAGAATTCTTGCGCAAGAGGCCAGTGTAGACAGGCAAGTTAATTTCTTGCACAAGAAAGCCCAATGGCTAAAATGGCCATCGAAGCTGTCTTGCTCAAGAGAGCATCTACACTGGCACGGATGCTTTTGCACAAAAGCACATCTCTTGCACAAAAGCACATGCCATTGTAGACACTTTCTTGCACAAATACTTTTAATGGAAAAACTCTTGTGTTGAAAGTATTTGCGTAAAATCATGCCATTGTAGACGTAGCCTAGGTGTTGGCTAGTTACCATTCCAGCAAGTCCAAAAGGTTTTCTCTTCCTAAAAGATAATTATACACTATGGGTGTGTCTAAACTACATGGCTCTGTCGATGGAGCCATGTAGATTAGACAGATAGGCAAAGGCAAATGAAGCCGCGTTTTAAATGATCGCGGCTTCATTTAAATTTACATGGCTGACGTGCTGAGCCGACAAACATCCAATCAGCTGTTTGTCGGCTCAGCGCGCTAGTCTGGATGCTCCCCTGCCGACATCAAAGCCCTTTGTC